CAAATAAGTTTTTTTTTTTTTGACGTGAACTCTGGGCTTGGGCGCTATCCTGCCCGGGCTGGCTTTGAACCGTGATCCTCAGATCTCAGCTTCCTAAGTAGCTAGGATTACAGGCTTGAGCCACCGGCACCCAGCTAATGACTTGTTTTAATTGTGAAAATACTTACAGAGTGGTTACAATGACACGAGCAAGGAAATGAGTACATTTCTTTTTTTTTGGGGGGGGGGGTCCGGTTGTGGGGCCTGAACTCTGGGCCTGGGCACTGTCCCTCAGCTCTTCAGCTCAAGGCTAGCGCTCTACCACTTGAGCCACAGCGCCACTTCTGGCTTTTTTCTTTTTGCTTATGTGGTGCTGAGGAATCGAACCCAGGGCCTCAGGCATGCAAGGCAAGCGCTCTACCACTGAGCCACTTTCCCAGCCCAAATGTGTGTCTTTTTTTTTTTGGATCCGGTGGTGGGGCCTGAACTCTGGGCCTGGGCGCTGTCCCTCAGCTCTCCAGCTCAAGGCTAGCGCTTTACCACTTAAGCCACAGCACCACTTCCGGCTTTTTTCTTTTTGCTTATGTGGTGCTGAGGAATCAAACCTTGGGCTTCATGCATGCAAGGCAAGCACTCTACCACTGAGCCACCTTCCCAGCCCCTGAGTACATTTCTTATCAAGCATTGTTGCCTCCTCCTTTGTTTCCATTCCTGCCCTCCCATCTCCCCCCACCCCCCCAAAAATGAGTACATTTTTTTTGGACAATGTCACCCCTTCCCTGGCTCTCTCACAGGTTTTCCCTCCCTCAAGTTCTGTTTGTTCCCCACCCACAGGTTGTGTGTCAACATAGTGTCTAGTGAGTGCCACTGTTGCATTTCTTCATCCTGGGTCCCTCCATTTCTTGCTCCTCCCGGAAATAGATGAAGGAAGAAACAATTGGGGGGGGAGAAGAGAAAACAAAATAATGTCGATGATAACAAACACAAAGAAAGGGGAAGACTTCTTGTTATATGATCAGAGGTATATAGGCATTGCACTTTTTGGTGAGCCTCATGTCGTCAATTAAGCAACCCAAAGGTCAGAAGTGGAGTTTTGGCTCAAATGGCAGACTTGCCAGTCTCTCTCTTTTTTTTTTTGGCGGGGGGGTGGTGGTGGTGTCTGGTCGTGGGCCTGAACTCTGGGCCTGGGCGCTGTCCCTCATCTCTTCAGGTTAAGGCTAGCACTCTACCACTTGAGCCACAATGCCACTTCCGGCTTTTTTTCTGCTTATGTGGTGCTGAGGAATCGAATCCAGGGCCTCATGCACGCAAGGCAAGCGCTCTACCACTGAGCCACCTTCCCAGCCCCAGAGTGCCAGTCTTGAGCACAAGAGCCAAGGGACAGCACTCAGGCTCTGAGTTCAAGCCCCAGGACTGGGGCGTGCACACACACACACACACCCTGCACCCCTTGATCTTTGCTGCTGTTTCCTACCACACAGGCACAGGCAGGCATGGCAGCATGTGATCTACCTCCCCGCCTCCCCACCCCCCCACACTTTGCACTGCCACCACTGCCGCCGCCGCCACCAACTATAGCAACAGACTTCCTAGGCTTCCCCTCCGCGCCCCCCCCTCCCCCGCCTTGGCCCCTAGTTTAGATCGCTGAACCAAAGTGTCCCCACTGCACGTTCGGCTCTGGCAAATATCAGATAGGATTACAGTGATGAGGAGAGAGAAACGGCCGCCATGGATTGACTGTAGGGCCCAGAGGACAGAATGCCAGCCCAGGCCCATTCATAGATTTGCGGTCTCTCTCCACACCCCGTGTGTTTGTCTGTCTTGTCTCTCTGTGCGATAGGGGTTTGCCATTCATGACCTGTGTGGGCAGGGATGATGGGGCGTGTGTGTGTGTGTGTGTGTGTGTGTGTGTGTGTGTGCGTGCGTGGGAGGGGGAGGTGTTCCTTCCTCACAAGGCCTTCCTAAGTGTCGGTTCGGTCTGGAATCGATTTTGGGCCTGACGTTGTTTTTCCTTGTTTTGGGGTGCCACCTACTGGACACCATGTGGAGTGACAGGGAGTGATTCGGGGCTGATGGCGGAAGCTGGCGACTCCCCCGAGAGTCCGCTCACGAGAGTCTCGTGGACTCTCGCGAGAGTCGCGATGAGGTATCGCCGGCTCTCTTCTGTGGCTTTATGTACAACAAAACAAAATGAAACAACAGCAAACAAGGAACTTTTCTTGAAGGGAGGGCCGAGCGGAGGGGAGGGGGGCCCGCAGGGGGTGTTTCTTTTCGTTATTTTCTGGACACGGAATTCGTCTTATGAGCAAACTGTCCCAGTTTATTTATGGTTGTAATTTATATACAGTAACACAAATGTCTTTACGTCAGTATTATGGAAAAGGGTCCCACGGCTGCAGTGGGTGAAAGATTGAGACGGGAACATTTCTAAAGGAGTGCCAAGAAAATGGAAAACAGGCAATGCTATATGTAACGAATAAGTCATCCTTAATTTACGTCTCGGCAAATGTGAGTAACTGATGAAAATGCAGTGAGGGTGTCAGGTGTATATTGTATGTCTAGGAAGAGGCCTGAGGCGATTTGGATAACTAGGCATAATCCTAGAAGTGATCCAAAGTTTCATCATCCGGAGATGTTTTATGGAGCAGGGAGGTCATTGAATGCGTGGTTAACTAATTTTATTAGTGGGTGAGTTTTTCGTATGATTGTCATTATGAGTTACTATAGTTGAATGGACAACAATGTTTTTTCATGTCATTGGTCTTGGTTTTAATCCATGTAGTAATTATGACATACTTAGTGCATATTTTATTAACAATTATGGTGGTGGGGTTTGTTGGTGTTGCTGCGAAGCCTTCTCCTATTTATGCTGGTTTTGGATTAATTGTTAGTGGTGGGGTAGGGTGTAGGTTGATGATGTTTTATGGTAGCTCTTATATGGGGTTAATAGTATTTTTAATTTATTTAGGAGGTATATTGGTAGTATTTGGTTATACTACTGCGATGGCTACTGAAGAGTATCCTGAGGCTTGGAGTTCAAATATTTGGTTATGAATGTTGCTTTTGTTAGGAGTGATTATGGAGGCTATGTTAGTGGTTTATGTGCTTGGGGATGATGAGGTGAATATGTTAGATAATGTTTATTGATGAGTGAGTTGCATATGATAGTGATGAGATGGTTTTAGTTCGGGAAGATTCAGTAGGTGTTGGGGCTATGTATAGTTATGGTAGTTGATTGATAGTTGTAGCGGATGGTCTTTATTTGTTGGTGTATTTATTATTGTTGAGGTAACGCGTGGGGTTTAAATAATTATGAGTGTTAGGATTGTAATGAATAGAAGAAATGATAAGAAATAAATTGTGACTAGTACTTTCTGGTTTGATGAAGAGGAAGATGCTGTTTGTTGGAGTGAGCTGATAAGTTTGGGTATAGATTTTTCCGTCCAGATATAGTCTAATGTTGATGTAGCCATTTTTTGGTTGAAAGATAAGTTGGAGAATGGGATTAGACGGTGAATGATTAATGGAAAATAACCTAGTAAATTAGAGAAGTTGTGATGATATGTGTTTGGGTAGAGTTTTAGATAAAGTGTTATAGAGTTGAGTTCTATTGCGATGACAAATCCTGTAAGTGTAATAATTAGGGCTGTGAGTTTAATAATGGTTGGTATAGTTATAGTTGGAGTATTGATTGGGTCAATGAAGTTGGAGATGATGTATCCTGCAAAGATGCTGCCGAGTAGGAGTCGTATGATGGGGTTAATCAAATTTGGGTGGTTTTCGTTGATGGGGGATATAGGTTGAAATCGTGGATTGTTTGTAAGAACAAAGAAGATGATTCGTGTGCTGTAGGCTGCAGTAAGAGAGGTTGCAATAAGGGTAATGATTAGGGCTCAGGCGTTTGTATACGACGTGTTTATTGCTTCAATGATGAGGTCTTTGGAGTAGAATCCTGTGAGGAAAGGTATACCTGTAAGTGCTAGGCTGTCAATAATTAGTGCTGAAGTGGTAAATGCGAGGGACTTGGCTAGACCCCCTATTTTTCGGATGTCTTGTTCATCGTTTAGGCTGTGGATAATTGACCCAGAACATATGAATAGTATATCTTTGAAGAAAGCATGAGTGCAGATATGAAGGAATGATAAGTATGGTTGGTTGATGCCTAGAGTTACTATTATTAGGCCTAGTTGGCTAGAAGTTGAAAACGCAATAATTTTTTGATGTCATTTGTGTGAGGGTGCAGATGGCTGTGAATAAAGTTGTTAGGGCTCCGATACATGAGGGTAAGTATAGTTTGGTTGTTTTGGATAATTGGATGGAAGTGAATTAGAAGGAAGATACCTGCAACAACTATTGTGCTGGAGTGCAGTAGTGCTGATACAGGTGTTGGGCCTTCTATCGCTGAGGGGAGTCATGGATGCAGGCTGAATTGGGCAGATTTTCCTGTAGCTGCTAGAATGAGTCCTAGGATTGGGATATTTGAGTTTGTACTTATTGAGAAGATTTGTTGAGAGTCTCATGAGTTGTAGTTGGAGAATAGTCAGGTTATTGTTAGGACAAATCCGATATCTCCAATGTGATTGTAGATGATAGCTTGTAGGGCGGCTGTATTAGCATCTGATCGTCCGTATCATCATCCAATTAGAAGAAAAGGTGTATAATTCCTACACCTTCTCAGCCGATAAAGAGTTAGAATATATTGTTGGCTGAGACTAGGATTAGCATGGTGATGAGAAATATAAGGAGGTATTGCATAAATCGGTTAATGCTAGGATCGTTGTGTATGTATCATGAAGAGAATTCTATGATAGATCATGTAACATAGAGTGCAATTGGGATAAATATGATTGATAGGAAGTCTAGTTTAAAGCTAGTGTAGAGCTCTATGGATTGAATAGTAGTTCAGTGTCTATTTGAGATGTACGCTTGTTTGTTGGAGTTGATGTAGGTAATTAGGGGAATTATGCTAATCAGGAATGCGTTTTAATTGATGAGAAGTTACATGTAGCTTGCTATGCCCAATTCACACCTAGAGAGGCAGATGAGAAATTGGAAGGGTTTGGTGTGAAAGCCACAGGTTGATCCAAAGCAGAAATCAAAGGATGTGGAGATGAAGCAACTACCTGGGAGGAAAAGGAAAGACAGTTGAAGGTGATGATCACCTAGAGGAGACAGAGAAAGTTTGAAGCCACATTTGGTCCTGTAGATCAAAGTAAACCATCTGAGGTAGAACAGTCTGGCTTACCGGAGTCACAGAGATGTTGGAAGAGCAGCAGCAAGTGCTCTTGCCCATTTCAAGGGAGCTCCCCAAATGCCAGGGTAAGAACTGGTACCTTCCCAGAGCACTGCTGCTGAGCAGTCCTCAGATCCCTTGCTACCATGATAATTGACGTTGGAGAGAAGCAGTGAGATTTGTAAAAGGTGATTGAAGCTCACTATGTGGAGCCTGTTCTGCAGCATTGTGGAGTGTCGTCTCTCAGGATGCTTACGGAAAAGATCCCAAAGCCACTGTCAAACATTGCAATCTATTTGGAGTAGACATTTATGGATGGAACATGCCTGAACCCAACATACTGATAATGAGTTGCTAGCAGTAGTTACCTAAAGATCTGACAGCCAAAACTGGAGAGGGAAACACTGAGCTCTGCACCACACCAGTATACCATGCAAATTGCTTGTATCCTAGTACTGGCTACCCAGTTTGCACACCCATGATGTTGTTACAATGATTGTGCCATCTTAATCCCTCACAAGTTTTACCCTTTCGCTTTCTCTTTTCCTCCTTATCCCTGCTAAACTGTCTGGATACCTGTGTTAACTACCCCAATCCCTGCAAAGCTGTTGCTGCTACACAATTTCTTGGCACTGCAACTTAGCGAATACAGTCACAATTCCCCTTTCCCAGGTATCCTATTCTCTGCTACTCTGTTCTGCTACCTATAATTCATAACACCATTGTTCCAGCCACCTGATCCCTGACACCCCTGTGGCTGATACCCCTTTCCCTAACATAGCAAGGGTAGAATGTTCAGAGCTAGTTGACTTGGGTACTGCTGTCTTCTTGCAGGGATATCGGGACACGTTATTCCTCAGGTATTTAACATGAAGGACTAACTGGAGGTGGAAATTGAAAAGGTTACTCAGAGGTGACTAAAATCTAGAGACATCAACATATCACTGGTTGTTAGGAAAAGAAGGGCCTAAGATGAAAAATTGATGAAAAAAGAAAATTTTACAAAGAATACTAGGAATGATGCAATAGGTTTAGCTTATTGTCTTCTACTAGTGATCTGAATTATTTTATGACATAGATATGCAAATGTTTTGCATTTTAAAAATTACATGAAATTGCACATTTATGTGGTATGTATATTAATTTATGGAATAGGTACATATGATCACGTTAATGATATTCAATATTTTATGCTCTATGATATGCTCATGAGTCTGCCTATGTCAATATGAATTGAGATCTCTATCAATAAATGGCATTTCATTGTGAAATACTAGAAGATTACTAATGTTAGTACCAAAATGAAAGCTAGAACAGGAAAACTGAATAAAGCTACATGTTTGAAGGGAGGGGGTCAGTGGTTGTAAGGGTTATGATGAAAGAGAAATTCTTCATCATGCAATCTGGGAAGAATAGTATATATTTTGTTGAATTACTAGATTTTAACCTGAGAAAGCAGAACATTAACTTTATTTTGCTTTTTGGAAACTGTTTAATGATTGGTTTACAAAAATAATCAATATAATTTTGAAAATTCACAGATGTGAATTATCAGATTATCATTATCCTCAAAGCTGTCTTTAGAGGCAAGAAGATTGTATTCCTTTTCCAATGAATTAATGGAGTAATCTTACTTTGTAATGGACAGACATCCATGACACTTGTTCCAAAACAAGAAAGATACTGGAGAAAAAAAGAGGAAGTAGACCCAAGGCTGATGAAATAAGCATATTTCCTGTTTAGACTTAAAAAGGATTTTTGTACAAACAATAAGAATTTCATCTTAATATTATAATTACAAAATCTAGGTGCTACAGGACATCTTTTAAATATAATATTTAATGCTGTTGGATTACTTGAAGAAAAAGTTTTACAGAAAACCTTAAATTCCAGAAAAACTGCAATGCTCCTATAAACACTAAGAAGAAATATAATTTAAATATCCAGACGGGTTGTGGGAAAATGGTAAGGTTCTCACAGGCAGCCCACTAAGTATCTCTGACCAAAAGAAGATCTAGTGCCACAGCCACCCCTTACCTCAAGAGATCCACTCCACTCAAACTTTAAATACCTAAAGTCTTTTTCTACTACAAAAGGACTATCCTAGCAGGCAAACAAGAAAAGGCAAAAGAGAAAAAGTGAATGGGACTCCTGTGGAGCACCTGTACCACATAGGTCTATGCAATGCTGCACTAGGACTTTCTGCAGAGTTTTAGCAGAGGAGCACCCAAAAGCTGAAGAAAGTGCTCAATACTTTACCTGTGAAATGTTAGAAGGGAATCTGGTGAAGATCTCCGAGTTGGTGAATGCCTCCCCATCCCCCCCCGCCCAGCCTATGGGGTATTACCACCACCATTACAATTGCCAGAAGTTGGCACCACCGGGTAGGCCCCCAAAATCAGCCCATACCTGCACCACTGGCAGGATCCCAGAGAGCCCCTGTCAACCCTGCACAAGATCTCCAGGAAACCACAGCTGCAGCCAATCGCTCTATGCTCTATGGGCCAATTGCCCAGCCGATTGAGCTTTCTGATGGGACTGCTCCCTCCTTGCTGCCCTGCACAGACCCCTGGCTCTCACAGCTGTTGCATGACCAAGCTATTGCAGGCATCTCTGCGGACACACCTAGCAGCCACAGGCAGAAACCCCCAAGGCTGCCTTCCAGCGCCTGCCACCTCCCACCACGTCTGCTCCAGACCAGCTTGGCTCCCCCCACAGTCCACACCAGCCTGCCACTCCAACCACTACCCAGTCCTCCCAGTGCCAGGACTCCTCACACCACCACATAGGAGAGAGACCCTTCAGCATCAGCAAAGCCATGCCCCCACCTAGATCTGCTAACACACAGACCCTCTGATTTAGAACCTGCCAAATCCATCTTAGCCACCATAGCACAGGCTCTGTGGTCCAGCACACCATCAACTGCAGACTTGTGAGTAACACAACTGGGTCCACGCCCTGGGGGTGGTAATTCTCTGAGGGATCCCAAAGCCCCCTGACACAAACCCCCTTCCAAAAGGGATGGATTACATCAAAACTGAACACAGACATAAGCTCTGTTCCTAAGGCTCCTGTGGCTGCCTTGGAAAGCCTGGGAACCCAACTCCAGGCCTATGATAGCAGTCTACAAACCTGAAACCCCCAAAACTGCCTGCCACCAGGCCTGAGAATGGAACTCTAGATAGCAGGCACCCTCCCCAATCAAAAAGCCTTCTGCTCCCAACCAAGCCACAAGGAAAGTGGACTACAGCAAGGCACACAAGGTTCCATCAGGAATCTGCTCTGAGGACTACAGGGAGAATAAACTCCCCAAAGACCCGAAAAATCCATTCTTTAGTATTTTCTTCTTGTTTTTGTTTTGCGTTGTTAGTTGTAATGTCTGATCATTTGTTGTTCATTTGTATTTCTATGTGTTACTTATGTGTATTGTGATTTAGGATTTCCTATACCTCTTAAAACTTCTGTTTTTCATTATTATTTGGTATCTGCTTCTACTTTATAATTTGCTAATTTGTAAGTTTTTTCTTCTTTCTTTTCTTCTCACTCCCCCTTTACCTCTCTCTCTCTCTCTACCTTACACTATTACTCCATCAGGGCTACCCTGTCTATGTGAGTAAACAATAATTACAGGAGTTAACTTAGAGTAAGCAACTTTTCAATAATATCTTACTGATATTTTTCTAATCTCAGCAAGTCTCCCCAATACACTTTCTTATTTTCATCTTGATCTCTAAGCTACTCCCTACATAACCTTTCTTCAAATTCTTTTCAACCTGTTACATTCAGTAACAAGGTATTTATTCTCTTCCTACTACATATACCTCTCCCCTAAGCTGTTCTTACCCATCTACTATCATTTTACCCAAGTTCACTTCTGAAATTAAATTTATATCTCTCTAATCTTAACCCTTCATTTCTCCATCTAATCCAACCCATTGATACTTAATGATTTATAAGTGACCCAACTTACAGTTGGTTCTATATTTGACTACAAAATTGGTTCCATTTGACAACTTTGAGTACGGGGGCCCATCTTGTTAACTCTAAAGAGCAGACTACTTATTAATCAAACCTAGATTGCCTCAAAAGTTACAACTATATGCAATCTCGACCCCAAAGCCAAAATATCCCTCTGCAAGCAAGGAAAAAGAGAGCTAAACAGGAAAACACCTAACCTTACCACTGAAACCCTAAGATCTACCCATCTACACGACATCGGGTTGGCTCCGGTCCTAAAAGACTGTCCTACTCTTGTAGCAGTGTGGTTCTTGTC